GGCGCAGTTGCTCTGCCCCGGGCTTCCTGGAATCAGTGGCTGATAAGTTTCAGCAGCAGCTGACTTGGTGTTCTTAAGTTCAATCTGTTCAGCCGCTGTTGAAACTGATCAGTTTCAGCAGCGGCTGAATCTGGATGCCAGTTCCGACTTACATACAGATTCAACTTAAGAACAAACCTACAGTCCCTATCTTGTACGTAACCCGGGGACTGCCTGTATCTCCCAAATATTGAGCTCTTGGGAGATGACATTTGCAAACTAATGACACAAGAATTTACAGGATCTCACGAGCTGCAAAATCCTGCACTATTTAAAATTGCCATTTAAAAACAGAGAGAGCAAAGTTCAACTTTGTAAAATGATCTTGTATCTAATTCTTGGGGCTGCAACATTGCAACTAAAGCCAGCCCCCTGATAAAAATAGGGTAGAGATTTAATACACACAGCATAAAGCATTTTAAAAAGAAACATTTTCCAATAGGAAAATGCCATTGTGAACAATTGAATGAAACATTTTGCTTAATGCAGTGTAGCAGTCCAAAAAGGCAAACAAATTACAGACAAGGTTAAAAAGGAGTAGCAAGTATCCTACCTTTATTTGCAATATATTGATAGCAGAGCTTGTTTGACATTGCAATGGGCCATGTGTCTGAATATGAAAGACATAAAGAAGAGACTCCTCTTGATTGCAGGCAGGCCATCCAACATGGAGTAATGTCTCATTGATAGCACTTGGTCCAATGTTGTGCAGCTGCCAAATAAATTACAAAACCAATCAATGTACAACTTTCCAAGGCCGGGAACAACAACAAAATAATTTAGACATTTGAACGCTTTTCAGCCACATATCTCAACAAGCCTTATGAAGGATATACATGTCATTATTTTAAAATGATTGGCTAAGAACCTTCTAAATTATTGTTTTCACATGGGCATATACCTTCACAAATATCTGAGGGCAATTTCAAGTTTTGCACAGATGGTGTAAACTGGGCAAAGGTGAAATAGGCTGGATGTTTTGCTGTTCATTCTGAGATTTTAAAAGATGTTTGCAAAGAAAGTGCACTATTGGTTTGTGGGCTTTAGCTGGAACCCAGTGACATACATTTTCAATATTAGTCCTATTTTCTATGAAGTTTTTCTTTGTGAATAAACAATAGAGGATTTCTTACTCAATGGAAGTAAACATAGGCTGAAAGTTACATGCATGTTTAAGTGCACTGCTGCCTCACAGCCCAAGTGGGGGTACCATAAAGATTTTTATTACAGGTTGTAGAAACATGTTAAACTCTAAAATTAGAACATAACATTTTATTTGGTTCATAGGTTGATATTGTGGATTCATTTAACTTCAGCATTTTAACCATATAATTTTGTTTAAATTTAGTCATTTCTTCTCTCTTTCTAGTTGCCTATCTTTTCCTGAACTACTGGCTTGTATTTGAAGTACTCCGTTTCACCCCCTTGAAGAAGGACATCTATCATATTTAAAACGTAGTCTATATTCAGTCTAGTTCATTCAAAATACTTTTTTCCCCTTTTCTTTTCAATCAGTGTATCTCCAGATTATTGTTTTGGAAGAAATCTGCAAATCTTAGAGACGAGAACATGTATTGTATTTAAGTTTCTGTGATTTCTAGAGTTGCTTGCATTTTAAAGGCAACATATTTGATCATTTTTCATAGTTCTCATAGGGCCTGCTCAAAACTCAATTGAAATCAATGGAAAAAACTTGCATTTAATGTAATGTGCTTTGGATCTAGTTCACAACTTCTTGTTTAGTATTTATTAAACACCAAAAGTGTTCAGGATTCCTTAATGACCAGGGACTAAATTCTGCCCTGGCATAAACTGGTGCCTCTTTTACTAACCCACAAAAATTGTGCCTGGTTACTTCAGAATTGCATTTGGACCAAGGCCCAGAGTAACAATATTTGCACTGACTTTGCTCCAGATGATGACAATGACCAAACTACAAATAATCTTAATGGAACAGAATCAAACCTATAGGAAGCTAAATGTTTTCAAATTATACCTCATATATATGTTCTACTAAAGGGCCAACATCCTCTTCTTTGGTAGGCTGATCTTTAGGCTCCCAGTTGTGAAGTGGCAAAACAATTTGTGGAGGATGAGACACTCTGCAATATATAAAAAGGCATAATGTCACTTGCAAACTCATCTGCTATGCCAGCATGAGACATTCTATCTTGAACAAAGACTACTTTATCAAGTTGAAACTACAAAGAAATTTTAAATAGGTATATTGGACTCTAGAATTATGCTACACGAATGGGACAATTCTTCAAAAAAGTGCAACAGAATTTTTAATAGCCACTAATTCTAAGCATCTCAGCATTACACCCTCCAGCAACATGCTTCCCCCTGCCATTAGTGGACTGATTCTTTGTTACTTGAAGGGAGGAGTACTATCTGTCTGGGTATTTATAGCATATTCTTCAGTATGGTACCTGAACATATCACACAATTTTATAAATCCAGATTAGTGCTCTACACAAAAATTTCAGATTTGTCTTCTCATCCAGAGTCACATTCCATTTCCTTTTCAAAGCCAATTTTATCTATCTTACATACTTATTTAGCCTCCAGTCTTGTAGTATCTGAGTGTCTTACAATCTTTAATGTATTTATCACCACTTTGTAAGGTAGGGAAGTACTATTATCACCATTTTAAGACAAGCAACATGCTTAAGGTCTTCACTTGCAGGAAGATCGACACTGTGGTGTTTGATCTTCTGGCATTCGATTTAGTGGGTCTAGTAAAGACCCGCTAAACTGAACACTGTGGATGCCCCCTGTTGGCGCCAATATTCCTACTCCTTGCTAGGACTCAGGGAAGTTGACAGGAGAATTTCTCCCATGGACCTCCCACTGTAAGGATAGTGCCAACACTCAGCATAAGGTATGTCGACTCCTGCTACATTTTTTATGTAGCTAAAATTGTGTACCTTAAGCCAACCTTTCCCCGTAGTATGGACCTGGCCAAAGTCTGCTGAATAGCAAGGCATTTTACTCAGTGATCCTTAGTCCCTGGGTAGTGCCCTAAGTACTAGATCATCTTCCTTCTTTTGGTTCGAAGTTGGTGAAAGTCATAGTAATGATCCAAAATGTACAAAATGATCCAAAATGTACTATAGAGCATCATACTCTCAGTAAACAAAGGTTAAGTGAAGACATAGCACATAATCTGGACCAGCTGATTTTTCTACCTTCTCTACATCTCCACACCAAAGTAAATTAGAATTTCACAAATTTCTTCTAGCCTCCTATATTATTTTCCTTTTGCTATATCAGAAAAGGCTGAGTAGCTGTTTTAAAATTCCTGTCTAAAACAAACACACTATTTTCTTCAGCACCTGCCATTTCCTTGGAGGCCTCCCATCCAATCACTAACTTTATTCCAGTTTAGCCTATGAGATCTTAAACTATCACAGCCCAAGATTCTCTTCTAGCCCATTATGTCTGTACATCCTGCAACATAGATCCAATACTGCCTTAACAGAAATAGTGATAGAAATGTAGCTGTGTTAGTCTAGGGTAGCTGAAACAAAATACAGGACTATGTAGCATTTTAGTCTTTAAAGTGCTACATAGTCCTGTATTTTGTTTTAACAGAAATAGGTTTGTGTTAAAATAATAATCAGATTAAATACTACCCCTTCATTGCAAAAGTTAGCATCTATTGCAGTATAGCTGTAAAAACACTTGGTACTAATTTTACAATTATGCAGCTTTGAGGTTTAAATCTTTTTTGTTCTCAGAGCTGGAAATTCATGTTTGAGCCAACAGCACGTTGTAAAAATGAACTTTACATCTAGATTAATGTTTGAATATAACATAACGATTGTGATCTTCTAACAATTGATGCTAAAAATAGTTTTTTCTTGAATCTAGACACTAAGTGCAGAACCATAGGAGTAGTTTGCACCTAGAAAAACAGAAAAACCAACATTTTTGTTGCAAATGCTAACATTTTAAAATGGTTTGGGAAGAAAAAAAGATTTTAGCTTCCAGTTATAGTGTCATGCACAGCCAATAAATATCTGACAGAAACTCTGTTGCAGAATATAGCAGAAATAAAGGAACATTGTATAAGAAAGAGTAAAGAGCCTCTGGAGTAGTTTGGAAACACAGTGGAAGAAGACTTCATAATACTAAGGCAAGCCTGATCTATATTAGTAATTTTGAATATTCCCTTGGTTATAAAAAGACCACCAGCTTGCAACAGCAAACATTCCAGAAACCACATTCATAAACTAAAGCCAAATAACACACTTTTTTTTAAAGAGCATTTTAGATTAGGTGCTTGGCTCTAATTTGTTAAATTTCACAAATGGCTTTTATTCTAGTAGATATGTCCATTCTGATACTTCTTTGGTGATTAGGAAACTTGTTTCATTAATATGATATTAGCAAAGCTCAAACACATGTTACTTTAAAGAACCACTAAAATACTGCAAAACACTGTGCAATAAATAAAGGCTTTAAAAGCCTTTGCTTTCTATTTAATTTTGCAGACAGTCTTCTCATAAACAGAAACAATGTGAAAAATGTACATTTAGATATACAGTTAAGAATTATTTTAAAATAAAAAATACAGGGGAAAGTAAAGTTTATTTTAATAGATTTTACAACGTATGGCTAGGATGGCTGATATTTTTGTAATAAATGAAATACATTAGGTTCATTTGAAGGGCATTTTTTCTCTACATTTTGATTAATTTTATTTTGTGTTTAACTTAGGAATTATGAATGTTTGAATAACTTATTGTCTAAGGACTCTTACTAACCTCTTGGGGTAGAAGACGGGGGAGGGGAGAGGAATCAGCCCCCCCAGAAACACAAATAAGATAACACTGATATAATGTTTTGAAAGATGATTTACTCAAAACATACAATAACAATTTGGATTTGATCTATTACCTCAATCATCATGATTATTTGCTGTTTCATAGAATCATAGAATACTAGGATTGGAAGGGACCTCGAGAGGTCATCGAGTCCAGTCCCCTGCCCCCATGGCAGGACCAAATATTGTCAAGACCATCCCTGATAGACATTTATCTAACCTACTCTTAAATATTTACACAGATGGAGATTCCACAACCTCCCTGGGCAATTTATTCCAGTGTTTGACTAGTTTCTCTTAGGTAATTTCATATTTTATGAAAACACGTTTTTCCTATCATCATATTTAATTGAAGATGTTAATTTACACAATCCTATTGCAAAATACTGATTTTTTTTAAAATTGATATGAGACAGACTGAGTATTTAAGTGAAAGTCATAAAATTTACTCTCTACAGTTATCACTTTATCTCAGTAACACTTTCTAATGGCATTGAAGGAACAGAAGAATATTAGAACGACCATATTGGATCAGACTAATAGTCCAGCTAGTCTGGTATACCATCCTCCAACAATGGCCAATGCCACGTGCCCCTCCCTCGCCCACCCAGAAGGAATGAACAGGACAGGTAATCAACAAGTGATCCCACCCCGTTTCCCATTCTCAGCTTCTGGCAAACAGAGGCTAGGGACACCATCCCTGCCCATACTGGCTAATAGCCATTGATGAACCTATGCTCCAGGAGCTATCTAGTTCTTTTTTTGAGCCCTGTTAAAGTCTTGGCCTTCACAACATCTTCCAACAATGTTTCACAGGTGGACTGTGCATTGTGTAAAGTAAAACCTTTTACTTGTTTTAAACCTGCTGCCTATTAATTTCACTTGATGACATCTAGTTCTTGTGTTATGAGAATGAGTAAATAATGCTTCTTTATTTACTTTCTCTGCCCCAGTCATGATTTTACAGATCTCTATCATATCCCCATTAGTCATCTTTTCCAGTTCCTCAAATTTGTCACCTAAAAAGAATGGCTCAGGTTTGGGAATTTCCCTCACATTCTCAGACATGAAGATGATGCAGTAAAGGGGAGATACATTTCAAATCTAACAAGGTACATAATATTTCAGTTTTCCTTATACTTTCCAAATGCATTTTTCTTCCTTAAAAAGAACCAGTTCACTACTTCACAGTTCCAGTTAGTTAGTAAGGGTATCATTGTATAAATACAAACAGAGGACTGAACAAAATTGATAATCTGAGTACGTGTCTTGGGGGATAAAGTGCAACTTTGCATAATGAGTTTCTTCCAGGGGTTTATAAAGCATTTTTTGTTAGCTAGGATGGTATTCTCCTCTAAAAACAAACAAAAAAAATCCAGCTGTTAAGATACACACCGGTTGCTATTCAGAGTTGTAGTTCAAAGTAAGCTTGGCTGTTTGTTGTCCTGTAACCTAATGGAATTTCACAGGAATATTTAACCATTGCATTTATTCAAAGCAAACTATGAATAGACAAGGTCTCATAGGACTAAATAACTGATTGATGGGAATATGAATGCTTTCAAGTAAAAGGAAAGGCATGGAACGTGCTGGCTTTTATTTTTGATGATATGCCACCTAGGTTGTGGTTTGCACAAGTTACTAATGACATGATACAACAGAAGTACCATTGTATGAAATGCCTATCACTTCATCATCAAGTATTCCACATGCCATGAAATACTGCTTACATTTTGTATAAGTAAATTCCTTTCTGTTCTGTTCCTTTACACATGGTATTGCAAAGCCAGTTAAAGGATATCATATCTATCACCGGTGAAATAACATTCATAGCTCAGCAGGCAGTCTGTGCATCAACTGCAGAATTTACAGTGCTGAAAGAACATATTAAATGCACAAAATGACTCCTGTGTGCCCAATTTTACATTTGCCCCTGATTTAGATGGAAGACATGTAAAAACTTATGCTCACAAATAGCTGCCAATTGTTCATCCATCTAATGAGGTTAAAGCCACCAGTTATTCTGATTAAATTTGGTATCTACAGGTTGAACCTCTCTAGACCAGAACTCTCTGGTATGGAAATATCTGTCATCCAGAATTAATTTAGTTATCCAGATGTCAACTTTTCAGGGTGTGGCCAAGTTTCCTGCAGTCCCATTAAGTTGTTTAGAGCCACTAGTCCTAGTTTTCTGTATTGTTATTTAGCTCTAATTTACCTCCAAATGTCCTCTAACAGCCCAGTAAGCAGTGGAAGTGTCAGTATTATTGCTATACAATATTGACCTCCTGTGGTTTGGAAAATTCTTTGGTTCAGAACTGGTCAGGTCCTGAGGGTGCCAGACTAGAGAAGTTCAACCTGTAGTACGTTCACTAGATCACGTTTCAAAAATGAAAACCACTAGAACTGAAATTTTCAGCATATAACTGCATGATAAAGCCACGCAACTGTTTGCCAAATAATGCCTTTCACATTTTACAGATTTGTGTTTTCAGGGCTGGGTGTAGATATATAACTTGAACCAATGAAAGTAAGTTTATACTTCACGATGGAGGAATACTTTCCACAACATTAGGTACATTCTCTGGCAACTAGCCCCTTCTATTGCTGCAGCTACACTCTATTCTTGGCACCCGAGCTTAAGCAGAGCTGATGTGGGTATGTCTTCTTGAGCTTGAATTTGGACCACTGGCTCAAACTCTAGACATATCTGAGAAGCATTTACAGACTACTGTGTGTATGCAGTTATCTAATTCTTGTTAAGAGACTTCTGCCTATTGCAAATCTTCCCATGCTAACTGATTTCCTTTCTTTGGTGTTCTTTATCAGATACTTGACTACAAGCAAATGGGAGTCACTGAAACATAGATATCTTACAAAAAAAATTACAAACATGGGAAGCATGGGATCGAGCAATAATTTTTTCTTTCTTTTTAAATAACTTATTTGATGAAGATATATTCCCTACCTCAGACATGGCAGAATAAGACACATATATATTCAGCAAATAATAAGACAAATTTTATCAAACTTCCTTAATAAAATATTCAATTATTTCTCCCCACATACACTCAATTCCCTGACAGTTGTGAGTGGGTCAACTTATCAATTAGCAATATTTCTGAGGCAAAGACATTGTGATGTTTCTTCACATATCACCCATGTTATGGCAAATACCAAAAGCAAAGGAATTAACAAGTCAATAAGGTGAAGAGCGTGCTTTCATTAAATGAAACAATTCTCATGTGTATTACATACCCTCTTCCCCCCCCCCCTCAGTTTTCAGCACCTTGGGCAGCAACCCAGGTCAACTGGCCTTAGGACCTATTTCTGAGTAAGTTTTTTAACATTTGATGTTGATTTTTTCAAATGCCCAGGTCCAGCTGTTTACCTGCTCACATAAATTTTCATTGGAAGAAATGTATATGCAGTGTAGGAAAAGCATTACAGTAGGGAAACAAGTAAGAGCTCACAGAAGAGTAATCTATGGATTCACTATGCTCCTATCCAACATGTTGCTTTCATCACTGAAAAACAGGGGGCACCTCAGTTGGGGAGATTCCTACCCTTAAATAGCACTGTTTAAACCAATCTGTTGCCAATTTATATGTTTATTTTGTCCCTACCTCAGCAAAGCACTTCAGCACATGCTCAGTTCTATTTGCTTTCTTGGCTGCCGCTGAACTAGAACTTCCATGATGTTAAGTCCTAAAGTCTATGCCACACCCATATGGCCCTTCTCCACCAGACCCAGCATATTCCTGAAGGCACATATTCCTCTCTGGGCAAAGGGTCTCACTGTCACCAGATACAGAAGGGGTGGGAAGAATGTCTATAGAATCTGGAGCCTTGGGATTTTATGACTACGATTACTGAACATTTTATCCTAATTGCTTTACACATTTTCTCTAATCTCTTATTGTTCGTTGAACTCATCACCTATTCTTGACAACCTCATCTCTCTCTCTCTCTCTCTCTCACACACACACACACTCACACTCACACTCACACACACACTTATAGTGCATTTTGCTTTCTTCTCTTTACTGGATCCTCAATTCTCATCCTTAAAATGTGAACATATTTTGCCTTAGACAAGTTTCTTATTTGCTAATGCCAAAGATGACTTCAGTTGAGCAAAGTCATACTTAGCATAAATGAACAGAATTATAAAATCATAGTTGTTTGCAATCCCTTCCATTAACCCAAGTTGGTGTGATAATAGATAATATCTCACTTGCCTTCTCCTCTCAGAATTATACAAGACAAATACCAATTCAGGCAATAAAGACTATAAGAAATTATATATGTTATATTGATATGATGTGCTTTATGCATATTAAGATATGCAGTATCAATAATACATATTACAAATTGTGATTTCATATAATTTTAAGCCCATCATATATTGGTCAGGGAGATACCATGGTAAAAGGCTACAGAGATCTCTGAGGGTACATCTACATTGTGACACTGTTTCAAGATACTTCTGTTATCCCAAAATAGCTATTCCATGTCTTGATAGAAAACCCGTTATTTTGAAATATCTTTCAAAATAATGAGCGTGCTATTCCAATGTCCCTGTCAACCTTGTTCCACAAGGATTAAAAGACATTTCAGAATAGCAGTTTATTTCAAAATTTGGTGCTGTGCAGATGCCAAATTATGAAATAAGCTATTTCGAAATATACTCAAAATCACCTACGCAATTTGTATAGCTCAAATTGCATAGCTTATTTCAAGCCAAGGGTGCAGTGCAGATGCACGCTGAGATAGGTAATCTTAAATTGTTTGTTCTTTGGAGCAGAAACCATGTATTCTCTATGATCTGTGAGGTACCTGGGATACTTGTGGGTGCTGGATACATAAACAGCAATATAGTACTTGCATTTCATTTATTGGGTCTAGTTTAGATATCAGTAACAGCATACAATTATCTAGGAAATAATTAACACTGTACATACAAAATCATGAATACTCCTCAGGACTGAAGAGGAAAGCTCTATAGTCTAACTATTGTTTTGTTTATTTATCACAGATGCCTCTTACTTTCTTCCAAATATATGTGAGAATATAAAAAATGTGTAGTAAACACCAGCCTGGATCACACTAAAGGCCCCATCTACCCCACCTTCTCACCACTGGCTTAAAGGACAATGTCAGAGCCCCTTAACAGGCAGATATGTCACTAGTTGACCCTCACACACAGGCTTCATCCTGATCTCTGATAGATTATGCCTTTAACAAAAGATTTAATACCCCTTCCAAATTTCTTGTTGCCATTTATTAAGATAATTCCAGACTCCAGAATTGAATCTGCAGTTCTTATGTGTATACACAATTGAATATATGATGACAATTGGTCTCTGTGTGGACAGAAAGCTCATTTACTCCACATGACAGGATCAGGGCCTAAAGTTTTCACCCTAAAGCTTGTGTGTCTGGTGAGAGTTGTACTCTGGAAAGATGTTGCAGAACTGAGCCCTAAATAATATATATAATCATATAAAAATTAATTGAAAAAGATGCATTGACTGTAAGTGTGAATTGCAATTCCAAAAAGCTTACCCTCTGATCAAAAAGCTTACCCTCTGATCTGTACTTGCGCCATCACACTGATGTTGATTTGAAGGTTAACCAAATTGCTGGTGGGATTAACCTTATTAGAACTAGAATAGATTTGCACACAGGTTAGTTAGGTTTCAAATACAAAATCAGAAAAACAATCATTTAATACTAACTCTGACATTTTAGAATTCAGTTTAATGCCAGTATCTACCATCAAGTAATTAGAAGAGGCTAATCTAGGAAATATTATATTACAAACTTTAGAACCTAGAAAATCTAATAATTTTGTATGCAAGCATTCATACGCATGGACATACATATACTAATATATAATATATATGGGGTATACTTCAAGGAATCTGCTATGACAACAAAAAATAATTTCTTTCATATTGTATCTTAAGTTTCTATAGAGTCTTATATACCATTTTTATTTGATTTCCTACTATATACAGTAGCACCTCATTTTAGGAACACTGTCTTATGAATGACCAGTTATATTAACCATTTTTCTGCCATCTAAATCTTCTTTTTGCAACTGGATGGGACTTCCATCCTTTATCCAACATTTAAGTAGTAGTATAGGTTTGAAAATACTGAGATTTGGTAATAAAGAAACAATGAAATTCTTTCAAAGAAAAATCAGGCACACTGTGTTATTTTATTACCATTTGTTATGCACACTATTAGTGAATGTTTAATACATTATCTTGTGTACCACACCTCCCATAATTCTGAGATACTCAATTTTATGAACTTTTTGATCATATGGCTTCTTTTAGAAAATGTTTTGATCTGGTTATGACACAAAAGAACAATTACTTAGAGAATTTGTTTAACTTGGTTATGAGACGATGTAAGCTATCTGGTCTGATCTTGTCGTCTCTCTGTATGGGGGAATCCCAGTGAAATTATGAATAATTTTGTGCATGAAAACACAGCAAAGCTAACAAGCTGGCCTCTGTTTATGTTTAACTTTTAAGGCTCTCCAAACTTGTGAGTTAGAAGAACAATGATTTTTCATTTAATTTTAATCAGGGAAAATCTATCACTGAATTAACTACATTTTTCCTCAGTCTTTCTATTCCAGATCTCACTCAGCAATAAAAATGAATCTCCAAAGTTAAGGTCCAATTCTCTTACTTTTCTCTAAACAAATATGTGGGCTTTATCATCTTACAAACCCTCCCTATGCATGTAATCCTTTTCACTTCAATATGACTGATTATAAGATTAGGGTCTATCCAAGTGAGGTAAGATTCGTGGAATAAAAAACATATACATATGCAATATAAATATTTGAAATCTCAACTCATTTTCATCATGATGTAAGTATAGTGAGTTTTTTCAAGCAAGCTTACAGGGCCCCTTTCCACCAGAGTTTGTCTCTCTATTGCTGTCATAGTTTACTGTTATCACATCTGGGTAACATCAGTTATATGGAAACATTTTGAAGAGGCCAGAATTCTCACTGAGTAACTAATGAGAAGTAATAAGGTAATTCTGTTTTGATCTGAGGGCTTCTGGGTCCAAACTGCTAAATTAGAGGCAACTTTAATTAGTTTGTAAACTGTTGCATTCCTTTTTCAAAATGTCATTTTATTTTTTGTTTTGGCCCTGCACTGTCATGTCTTTGTAGCCCTGGAAAGCAGCATGGGGACTACTGCTAAAGTTAAAATATTAATTTTTTTGTCAATACACAGGCAATCATAACATTAATTTATTAGGATACAGTGCACACCAATTCCTACAAGGACAGTAGAGCTCATATGCACAGACTAAACAGAATCAGATTATAGCTAAATATTGGGGGCACTTACGTTTCCTTTGATGTGTATGGTATTTCTCCTCATTATGCTAGTGTTTTAAATAAAGAAGTCTATGTACTGATATACACGGCACAGCTTTGTGTACAGATATCTAAGGAAACTATTTGTGCCTAACAAAATTAATGTCAAAAAAGGGACTAAAATACTGCTGCTGCTACTACTACTACTTCCCTAGCATCTCGCCATAAGAAAAGCTTCCTTTTCTCCAATTACACTTTTGGTATGTGGAATATTTTAATTTTTGCATATTATTCTAGAACAAATTAATCAGTGGTTTCCTCTAGAAAAACTACTTATGCTGAACGACATGTCCAAGCCAAATACGTTTTATGCTTATTCCTCCTTTCCTGTTAGGTTTCCTGTTTCCTTGTTTATTATTGTTTTATCCTTTCACTAAGAAAGTAGAAATAATACTTAAAATTTAGGACACACATAAGCTTGACTGCTCTTATAGAAGGAACACAAAGTCATCTGAGTATGGCAAGGTGTATTTATGCTTCAGTAAGAGAATAAAATAATTCAAATGTAGTGTGGGTGGATGCTAGGGGAAGCTGTGCAGCATTTTAATCTAAATGTTTGGAAGCAGAACGTTCTTACCTAAACTAGCTACAGGCATAAAGGGAAACAAGACGACCTTTTATAAATACATTAGAAGCAAGAGGAAGACCAAGGACAGGGTAGGCCCACTGCTCAGTGAGGAGGGAGAAGCAGTAACAGGAAACTTGGAAATGGCGGAGATGCTCAATGACTTCTGTGCAGCATTTTAATCTAAATGTTTGGAAGCAGAACGTTCTTACCTAAACTAGCTACAGGCATAAAGGGAAACAAGACGACCTTTTATAAATACATTAGAAGCAAGAGGAAGACCAAGGACAGGGTAGGCCCACTGCTCAGTGAGGAGGGAGAAGCAGTAACAGGAAACTTGGAAATGGCGGAGATGCTCAATGACTTCTTTGTTTCGGTCTTCACCGAGAAGTCTGGAGGTGTGCCTAACGTAGTGAATACAAGCAGAGAGAGGGTAAGTTTAGAAGATAGGATACACAAAGAACAAGTTAAAAATCACGTAGGAAAGTTAGATGTCAGCAAGTCACCAGGACCTGATGAAATGCATCCCAGGATACTCAAGGAGCTGATAAAGGAGGTATCTGAGCCTTTAGCTATGATCTTTGAAAAATCATGGCAGACAGGGGAGATTCCAGAAGACTGGAAAAGGGCAAATATTGTGCCCATCTATAAAAAGGGGAATAAGAACAACCCAGGAAACTACAGACCGGTCAGTTTAACGTCTGTCCCAGGGAAGATAATGGAGCAGGTAATTAAGGAAATCATATGCAAACACTTGGAAGGTAATAAAGTGATAGGGAATAGCCAGCATGGGTTTGTGAAGAACAAGTCATGCCAAACTAATCTGATAGCTTTCTTTGATAAGATAACGAGCCTTGTGGATAAGGGAGAAGCGGTGGATGTCATATACCTAGACTTTAGTAAGGCATTTGATACGGTCTCGCATGATATTCTTATTGATAAACTAGGCAAATATAACTTAGATAGGGCCACGATAAGGTGGGTGCATAATTGGCTGGATAACCGTAGTCAGAGAGTTGTTGTTAACGGTTCTAAATCCTGCTGGAAAGGGATAACAAGTGGAGTTCCTCAAGGGTCTGTTTTGGGACCCGTACTGTTCAATATCTTCATCAATGATGTAGATATTGGGATAGAGAGTACGCTTATTAAGTTTGCAGATGATACCAAACTGGGTGGGGTTGCAACTTCTTTGGAGGATAGGGACATAATTCAAAATGACCTTAGCAAGTTAGAGAAATGGTCAGAGGTAAACAGGATGAGGTTTAATAAAGAGAAATACCCACCTCAGAGCTGCCAAAAGTGGCAGCCTTGCTTGGCAGTTTAAGGTGGGAGTGGATTTTACAAACTAACATCTAACATGTAAAACAATTTGTGGAACTTGAAATCTGAGTGAAACAAATAGGTGCAAATGTCTACCAAAAAACAATTAATACTGATTTCTCCTACCCCTGATTTTATCTCCATATCACCAATGGTATAAGTGATACACAGAGAGATGAAGGAAATTGTCTAAAGCCTCTAAGGTTAGGTCTACACAGCAGGGGATGTTTAGATTGGACATTAGGAAAAAATTCCTAACTGTCAGGGTGGTCAAATATTGGAATAAATTGCCAAGGGAAGTGGTAGAATCTCCCTCTCTGGAGTTATTTAAGAACAGGTTAGATAGACATCTGTCAGGGATGGTGTAGACGGAGCTTGGTCCTGCCTTGAGGGTGGGGGGCTGGACTCGATGACCTCTCGAGGTCCCTTCCAGTCCTATTATTCTATGATTCTATGAATATTTCTACACAGTTTGTACTCCTATAGCTGAATGCATTACACCCATTAATGGGAATAAATGTTCTCTGGATTTCCTAAGAATTCAGATTTGTTTGGAGCAGATGTTCTCAGGTTTTAAGCATCAGAACCTCTATCTAATCAAGCCACACGAAGCCATAGGTCAGAACCTCCCAACTCCATATGTGAACCCATGTTTTTCACTTGGGAATTTATTTACAGTGTTATTAATGATGTTAGGGTTATGTGAGTCATGTGTAGGCATCTTATATGTAAATATAGCCATCACCTCTCACCTGACACTTACATTGAAACTACTGGTAACTCCCTTCTGCTAGGCACTTACAGCCAAATGGTGCAACTAACCAATAGTATGAGGCACTGAATGAGTGAGGGGGATTATGACAAATGCTGGCAGGAGATCTGGTGTTCTAGGTGATGAGGTGAGAGAGGGGGTCACTGAAAAAGTTTGAGAACCACTGCAGTAGGAGATCTGCCAGCCTTTGGATAACTTGCATTGTGTGTTCTTCTGCCACTTTTCCATATCAGATCAATTTCCATACTAAGGGTTTGGGAGGGATGGGATGGAATGTCATCACCTGAAACACTGCCCAGCAGAGGAACATCTGTTATTAGCACTTCAGCCATATCACTGTAGCTATTGCTAGTAGAAAAATATTTTAAAAATCCCCAATTCCATATGATTCAAGCTAGACTCTTAAAATTGTAACTTTTCTCAAAGCTCTTATCAAAATGGTTATTGAGAGAACTGGTCAGAGACTGGAATTTCTGTTGCATGGGAAATTCTCATTCCAAACTGTAACAAAAATCTGAAGTCTCAAAATTTTTATTTTTGTTTATTTTGTGACCTCGTTTTGTTTACAATTTTATATTACATTCAAGTATTAAAAAACTCACATATATTGAAAAATGAATGTAAGTCTAACCTAAGTACCATATTTTAGTGCATATAACCTGCGGGTTATATGCGTTTTTACAAACCCAGCACCACCCCACCACCCATGGGGTATACTCAGGTGCAGGGTATACAATTTTTTTTTACTCACTTGGTGAGTTCCTGCGCAGCCACCAGCCTCCAGACAGAGGAGCGCTCATCCCCCTGGTTCCTGCACAGCTGCAGGAACCAGGGGGATGAGCACTCCCCCGTCCGGAGGCTGGTGGCTGGGCCTGACTAACCCCTCCCCCGCTTCCTTCCTGGCACCATAAATTAGCTAATATACCCGGCATAGTTTGAAAAAAAAGTCTTGTATACCCTGCAGGTTATACTCGTGTGTAGGGCATACCAGATTTTTTTTTTACTCAATTCAGAAAAACCACGGGGTATATTTGGGTGCAGGGTATATTCGGATGCGAGGTATATTCACTAAAATATGGTAAATCAAAATGGTAGTCTGAGCTAGATGTTTACTTTCCCAGAATGTTTTGATATTATCTAAATGAAGTGAAAAAGCTGAAATTAATCATTTCAACATTTCCCCTCAACTTTAATCAAGATTTTTGCAAAATGTTTTGCTTTTGATTAACTATATTTTGATCGAAAACTGTCAACATTTCTGAGTAGCTCTAAGATTTTTATTTTAAACCAATCGGTATACAATATTTTTATAATTTAAATTCCAGAAAATATAAAAATATCAGTAACAAATATCATGAAAAATTAAACATTTAGAAAAATAAAGTTTTTTAATAAGTATTTTTGTGTAAAAAGGCCTTTTTAATTAAAACATTTCATTGGAAAAATCAGTCAAGCTCCAACTGTGGACTTTCTATTTTCTTAAAGGGGCATATCGGAGAAGCCAGCTTTTTTATTTTTTCTTGTGTGAGAATGTGTTTCTAAGGCTTGGAAGGATCAGATTTTATCACACAACACAAACATAAATCAATAAAAATATTTCAGTCAATAGCAATCAAAATTTGGTTTGACAAAAATGCTGCTTTACAACTTATTAGCGTTTGATTTAAAGCATTTACTTTGTCAAAATACCATGCCAACATATGAAATTGTGTTTTAATGGTTATAAAGCTCTAACTTTTTTTAAATTTCAGAATCTATTGTCTTTAAGTAATTATTGTTTGACCGCTACTACTGTCTGACCACCCCTTAATTTCCCACAACTATGAAAATTTAAAAATAAAAACAAATAAGAAGAATGCTTACAAACAAGCTTTAATATTATCCAATCAAAACTGTCACATGCACACACAGTTTGATTGGATAATATAGCTAATTGAATTCTGCCATGCCTAATTATGTATTTCAAGAAGAGTAGTCTTGAGCAATTCTTTGGAGGAATATCAAGTTTTTGACATTTTCCATAATGCTGGTACCTATGAAACCACTGACCATAATCAGAAGAAATGAATTTTGACAAATAATAATTCATTGTAGAGTTTTGAAATATGGGTATATATGAATTTAAATCATTATGTACTTGGTAAAATAGCTAACCTTTTTATTTGCAGTTCAAACTTGATGCTGAAATCGGCATTTTCAAAATGCTGAACGGAAAATCGGATGCCAGTAGAGAACTAAGAAAAAACAAGCATTTTGTGAGTAACAGTTCAAAATGACAGTTTAAATGTTTTAAATGTTCACTACAAAAACAGCAGACCTGATTAACACACTCATTATAGGGTCCACTCCCCACCCCAAAACAAATGAGAACTCCATTATCAAAAGTGACAGTTTTAAAGACATGACTCATCATGGGAAAACAACATTCTTTAAAGTTATAATTTGTAGATTTGTACAAACCATGTGTAATTATGCATTAATAACTATTAAGGGAACATCTAAAACCTTGTCAATTAAAAATACAGAAGTGGATTACTTAAAATGTTTTTCATTTGGAACTGAAACTGCAAGCGGTATTCAGCCTGCAAATGCCTTCTGAATACTCCTTAACTTACATTCATCGTCTTGTATCAGACACACTATGGCTGTGTCTAGACTGCACCCCTTTTGCGGAAAAGGGATGCAGATTAGATACAGTGCAATTGCAAATGAAGCGGGATTTAAATCTTCCCCGCATCATTTGCATGAACATGGCTGCTACTTTTTTCGGCTCGGGGCTTTGCCGGCAAAAAGCGCCAGTCTGAACGGGGATCTTTCGGAAAATAAAGCCTTTTCCGAAAGATCCCTTATTCCTCTTAAAATCAGGAATAAGGGGTCTTTCAGAAAAGGCTTTATTTTCCGAAAGATCCCCATCTAGACTGGCGCTTTTTGCCGGCAAAGCCCCGAGCCGGAAAAAAGCGGCAGGCATGTTCATGCAAATGCTGCGGGGGATATTTAAGCCCCCCGTGGAATTTGCACTTCCGAAGTGTCTCATTAGCATCTCTTTT